TTTTTTTTTGTCAAAATTATTTATCGAAAAACCTTTTTTTGATCAGGGTTATATGATTAAATTTGATGATCCTGAACAATATCGTTCTTTACCTTCAATAATATTACAAAATAAAACTATACTTTTTTCTAATTTACCTGATATTTATGCATTTCATGCAACGTAAGTATATTTTAATTTGGCTTGTTGTTTTTTTTTTCTAAAATATACTTTCAAATTATTGATTTATTTATTATGTAGATCATTTCTTCGTGATCTTCAACAAATTTATAATGATTCATTATTAATTAATACATATTCAATTGGAAGTGCTATCGCTTCATGTTTTATTAAACGAGTTAGTTTTTTATATGAAGAATTTTTCTTACGGAAAAAGAGTGAAGAAAATATTGGGGATTCAGAAAATGAAAATTCAATAGTTGGTGATACTGACATAAGATCTTACTAGGGAAGTTCTCCAACTGTTCAACCACATTTAAGTCGCGACTATGTACGTTATGTAGATTCAAATGAACTATGAATATCTTGAAAAGAGTTCATGCTCTTCGTTTATTGCTATGGAGATACTGCACTTGTGCAGTATTTTTTTCAATGAATCCCATGATAAGAGAAAAACTGGTTTTCAAATGTCAATTTGAAACTTTGAATAGAGAGACAGGCCTTAACGAGAATAGTTTCAGGTCTCTCTCTCTCTTTCTCTATGCAAAGTTTCAAGTCGAAATTGGAAAATCAGTTTTTTTGACATTTCCACATTTATTTAAAAAGTACCGTAAAAGTACAGTATTTTCGTAACAATAAACTAAAAGCACGAACTCTTTTCATGGTATTCATAGCTCATTTGTATCCATATAATGCACATAGTCTCGGCTTAAAAGCGATTGAACAGTTGAAAGACTTCATGCTCTTTTTGAATTATAAATGATTCTATTCACTTCATGGGACTCGCAGCGAAATCAACACTCTTAAATTCGAGCAAAAAAGTTTCCTATCTCTTGATCTCTCAACGACATTCAACTTACAGATACTTTAAACTTGAATTCGACACTAAATGTATGTCTTGCAAATAGTTGCTAGGCATAGTTATGTTGTTTCTTCATTATATATTCAAAAAAAAAACTATGATTAATAACACTAAAGCTCGTTGGGTCAAACATTTTTGCACTCAAACTACATTACTAATTTCAATGAAATTTTTTAGTCTGAATCTGATAGTCGATACGAATCCTTCTACTAACACGTCCTACACATTTCTCAGACAATTGTAATGATGATCTGATAACAATCAAGTCATAATTGGCTGTGGCTTTTAGAGTATGGTTCGTTAGATCGGTCCCGAACCTGACGAACTCTAAATAGTACACTCAGTAACTTCAGTCATCGTATGTTAAATTAAGAAAGTTACGAGTTCTTTCGAAAGATTTCGTCATACGAGAGAACGATTTTAGCTGACCAATCGTTTTGGTCACTAACAGCTACCGTATTGTTGTCCATACTGATTGTGACTTAGAGTATAAGAAATCCTCTCAAGTCTTTGCATACTGGTTTTCTAGACTAAAAAATATTTTTAGTAAAATTGTTTGGATCTACTCAGATTATTGAACATTTTAAATTGTATATGAGACAACAATCTTTTCTGTTTTCTAAAATGAGTTTTAAATAAAACAATATCATTTTGAAGATTTTCAGATCGAACTCTTGATATGTAATTGCTGTATGAATTAAAATGACTATATTTTCTGCCAAAAAAAAATCAATTTGAAATAGAAAAAGTTATTGTTTGCTAGGCGATTCGATATGTTCTATAATCTGGATACATCAAAAAAGTTTTTTGGCGAAATTATCATGGTTAATAACCTACATTCCACTAGCTCTTGGCGAGAAAATGTTCCCTCATTAGAATCGTTTCGTTAGTATTTAAAGTGGTTAGAGTATGAAATGGGAGTAATGCAAAGGAGCAACAACACTAAAACTTTTTTTTTTGCTTTAGAAATCAAATTTTAAATTATATGAACAATATGTTCTTAATAAATCTCAATCTGAACATATATGGGAACAATATTGTTGTGGACATTCATTTTTTACAGTAAATTTATATTGAAAATTTTG